TGAGAGATGTGAATTGGCAGTGCAGAGGGAGGGGTGCTGGAGGGTCAGTGTAGAGCCTGCTAAGTTCAGCAGGGGGCAGCAGAGAGGCCAGTGTAATACAGGGAAGGCACTCAACTGCTCCCCAATCCTGCCAGTGCTCTCCCCTTTCCATTACTACACTTTTTTTTTTTAAGGATTTCTTTTTATTTATATTTATTTTGTTTGTTTTTTCTCACTATGTCGCTCTGGCTGTCCTGGAACTCACTATGTGGGCCAGAGTGTCCTCAAACTCACAGAGCACTCTCCCAAGTGCTGGGACTAAAAGTGCACCGTTACACCTGGCTTTGTTTTATTTCTGCGGATGGGTACCTGTGGAGGCCAGAGGGGAGAGCATGGGGTTGCTTGCATCTGGAGTTACAGACACTTGTGGGCAACCCAATGTGGATGGTGGGTGCTGGGACCTGACAGAACCATCTCACCAGCCTCTTGTTATACTCTTTTCTTTGTTTCTTTTGGTTTTTGTTTTTGAGACAGGGCTTCTCTGTATTCCTGGCTATCCTGGAACTCTCTATTTGTAGACCAGGCTGGCCTTGGACTCACAGAGATCTGCCTGCCTCTGCCTCCTGAGTACCGGGATTAAAGGTGTGCGTCACCTCTGCCTGACTCATGGTGTGAATAGCAGCTTTCCTGCCCTGTTGGACAGGAGTTCTTCTGTATCCTCCGTCAAGTCTTGTTTTTCTTTTCATCCCTGTGCTGAAGTCTTAGGTTTCTGGTCTTCCAGGTAATCCCTCCTTACACTTTTATTTTGTGTTAAGTAGGTTTTTGTGAGATAAGGTTTTTGTAGCTCAGGCTAGCTTTCAACTTGCTTCGTTGCTGATGACCTTGAGTTTGTGATGCGCCTGCTCCCACCTCTCTAGTGCTAGGATTGTAGCATTACCACCTTCAGTGGCCCTGATGCTGGGAGCAGAACCCAGGTCCTTCTGCGTGCCAGCCAGGGACTGTCATTACTTATGTTGTGTTTGTTTATGTGTGTGTCACACATGTGCATTGCCGTGGCTGTTATGCTGTGGCTGTTCTGCCATGGCTGTTCTGCCGTGGCATGGGTATGAAGTTCATGGGTTCCAGCTTTCTGGAATCTAAGCTCTCCTCCCCATGGGCCTCCCAGAGATCAGACTCAAGTTTATCAGGCTGAGCAGCAGGCGGCTTTACCTGCTAGACTAGCCCTTGTTATTTGTCTGGGTGGTTTGGTATGGTTTTGGGATGTAAGAGCCTGTGTATGCCCACACCTGTGAAGGCTGGAAAAGGACACTGGATACTTGCACTGGTGGCTTCTTCTATGGCCCTCTGCCTGATTGCCTTGAGACAGGGTCTCTCACTGAACTGGAAACTTGCCATTTTGTATATCTGACTGGCGAGTGACCTCTTTGGGTCCACCTGCCTCTGCTCCCCAATGCTGGAATCACAAACACGTGCAGCCTTCCAGGCTTTTTACCTGGATTTTAGGCATTAGAATTTAGATCCTTATTGAGCTATCTTCCTAGGCCCCGTTCCCTTTTTTCTTTGTTTTTTTTGTTTGTTTGTTTTGTTTTTTTGAGACAGGGTTTCTCCGTGTAGTCCTGGCTGTCCTGGAACTCACTCTGTAGATGAGGCTGGCCTCGAACTCAGAAATCCACCTGGCTCTGCCTCCCAAGTGTTGGGATTAAAGGCTTGCGCCACCACCCCATTCCCATTTTTCAAAGTAGACTTGTACATATTCTTCTGCACTTTTACTTCATGTGTGTATATGCATGCACATATACCCTATATACATATGGGTATACATACATGCCCTAACAAGGGAGTAGAGGACAGAGGACCACTTGCAGAAGTTGAGGCTCTCTTTCCAATATATGGGTCCCAGAGATGGAACTCTGGCTTGGTGTTGTCAGGCTTGGTGGCAAGAGCCTTAACCCATTGAGTTATCTTGCCAGTCCTATTTTTTATTGTTTTCAGACAGGGGCTTGTGTAGCCCAAGCTGGCCTCAAACTTGAGGCAGTTATACTGGGTGAACCTCTTGAGAACGCCTGAGCTTCCATGTGACACTCCTGATTATTTAGAGACTGGGCGTCCTTGGGAAGGTCTCCTCCACCCTCAATCTCAGCATCGCCAGTGCTGGCATTACAGGCTTGAGCCACTCTTGTCTTAGGTTGTGGACTCCTGACCTCCTTTTAAAATGTTTTTTTTTGGGTGCTTGCCACTGTGTCTGACAACTTGAATTTTATCTCCAGAACCCATATAGTGGAAGGAGAAAACAGATGTTCCCAATTGTTCCCCCAATCATATGTGCCTCTGCCCCAAAACACAAATTACATGTATATTTAAAAGGGGGGGTTCTTTAGGGGCCTAGGGAAATGCATTTGCTAACAAGAGTTACAAGAGTTTAAGTTTGTATCCTTAGAACCCTCTTTAAAAGTTGGGTGCAAGCCAGGCATGGTGGCACAAACCTTTAATCCCAGCCGAGGCAGGGTCTCTATGAGTTTGAGACTAGCCTGGTCTACAGAGTGAGTTCCAGTAGAGTTCCAGCTAGAGCTACATAGTGAGACCCTGTCAAAAACAAAACAAAAAAACAAAAACAAAACCAAACAAACCTAAACCTGGGCACAGCAGAACGTGACTAATCCCAGAGCTGAAAAGGTAGAGACAGGAAGAGAACCCCCAGGGCGGTGGCCAGACACTCTTGCTCTAGGTTCAGTGAGAGACCCTGTCAAAAACTAATATGGTGGCCTCACACTTCTGCATGTAGAGATAGTCCTAACTAGATTCAGTCAGTTATTAAGAAAAAACCAGCCGGGCGGTGGTGGCGCACGCCTGTAATCCCAGCACTTGGGAGGCAAAGGCAGGTGGATTTCTGAGTTCGAGGCCAGTCTGGTCTACTGAGTGAGTTCCAGGACAGCCAGGGCTACACAGAGAAATCCTGTCTCAAAAAACCAAAAAAAAAAAAAGAAAAGAAAAGAAAAAAAGAAAAGACACAAACAGAGCCGGGCGGGAGGGGAGGGGGGCGGACGGGGGTGAAGAGGGAGGGTCTGAAGTGTATAGCGTCTCAAGTTGTGCTCATGGAGTCTCTCTGGGAGGACATGCTCAGGAGAAATTTGGTTTCCTGTTTTTTCTTCTTCCATGTCTTGTGTAATCAAATGTATCCATCTGTAGCTCTCCCTCCTTGGAGAAAGCCTGTGGAGTAGCTGGGAAGAAGGATCAGCAGGTAAAGGCACTTGGGGCCATTTCTGATGATTTGACTTTGAACCCCAGGACCCACAGGGTGAAAGGAGAGAACTGATTCAGGGATGGTCCTTTTTTTTTTTTTTTTTAAAGATTTATTTATTTTATACACATGAGTACACTGTAGCTGTCTTTAGACACACCAGAAGAGGGCATCTGATTTTATTACAGATGGTTGTGAGCCACCATGTGGTTGCTGGGAATTGAACTCAGGACCTCTGGAAGAGCAGTCAGTGCTCTTAATCGCTGAGCCATCTCTCCAGCCCACGGGGATGGTCCTTTAACCTCCACATGAATACTATGATGTGTGCACATACACCTCCCCACCCTCAATAAACGTATGGAAAAAAAAAGAGTTTAGAGCCAGGTGCCTGCACACCTTGTGTCTCAGCACTCTGGAGGCAGGGGCAGATGGATCTCTTGAGTCTGAGGCCAGCCTAGTTCACAGAGAGAATCCAGACTATCCAGGGATCCTTAGCAGACCCCATCTTTTAAAAGGGAGTCCAGCACACCAGTAGAATGAGTGAGTAGGCCAGGGCTGTCGCATGGAGAGTGCTGCCTGAGCATGCGCAGTACTCTAGCACACAGAGGAAGCAGCAAGGAGGCAGAGCCAGCTTTGGTAGCAAACACTTCTAACTCCATCATTAGGAGTTACAGTCACAGGCTGGGGAGATGGCTCAGCCTGTGTTAAGAGCTCTGGTTGTTCTTCCAGAGGCCCTGAGTTCAATTCCCAGCAACCACATGGTGGCTGATAACCATCCATAATGAGATCTGGTGTCCTCTTCTGGCCTGCAGGCAGAACATTGTATATGTAACATATGAATAAATCCTTAAGAAAAAAAAAATAGGAGTTACAGTCACACTCCAGGCCTGCCTGGATTAGATAGCAAGACCCTGTTTCAAACCAAGTAAAACAATATAGACTGAGGAAACTTATTTCTCTGAGTGGAAGGGAGCTTGAAAGTGCAGCTTCAAATCCTAGTGCTCGGATTCTTCACAACTTCCCTCGCTGTCTCAACTAAACAGTCACAGACACTTGTCCTTACCTGCAGGAGCCACTGCCAGCTTATAGTCAAGGCAGAAAACTTCACTCAGCTTGACTGTGGTCTACCGTTCTAGCCTCATGTTCACAGGCTCCCTATTCCAAAGCCTCTGTAAGAGCATTTAGATTTCATAGGCAGTACTGACAGGGTCCCGAGAGGCATGCAGTTGTTACTTCTATTTTATGTCTGAGGATCTAGGGCTGGAGCTCAGGACTAGGCCAGTATCTATTACCAAGTAGCACCACCAGCCCTTAGGGTTTTTTTTTTTTTTTAAACTATAGACGATAATATGTAAGAGTCTATGGATTATTAATCATCATGATACAATAGGCTTCAATGAGCTTACCATATAACTCTTCTCTCAACACTTGAGAATCCCCTGGTGTTCTTCAGGTATGTTTGGCCTCTGTTGTCTGGCTAGCTTTTCCAATTAGCTAGGCATCTCTGGGAAAGGGTAGCATTTAAGCATCCTTTCTCCTCTCAGGCTGCCAGGGTACCAAACTGCCAGCTGGTCTTGTTTGGTGCACTTGACCTGTTCTGGGGTGTGTTGACAAGAGTCCTGATGATGAGTGGCCCGTCTGTCCCTTGCAGGCCAGGCTGGAAAGCTGATGTACGTGATGCATAACTCTGAATACCCATTGAGCTGCTTTGCCCTCTTTGAGAATGGCCCTTGCCTTATTGCTGACACCAACTTCGATGTCCTCATGGTAAAGCTCAAGGGCTTTTTCCAGAGTGCCAAGGCCAGCAAGATTGAGACCCGGGGTACTCGCTACCAGTATTGTGACTTCCTGGTGAAGGTGGGCACGGTCACAATGGGGCCCAGTGCCCGTGGCATCTCTGTGGAGGTAAGACCTTGGTGAAGGACAAGCAGGGTATGCTATGGGCTGCACAGCAAGGATTCTGGAAGTTTCCCCAGCCCCACTTGGTTCAGATAGACTCAGATAGTATCATGTCATGCCTCCACCACAGGAATCCTTCTTGGTTGGCTGATTTTTTGCCCTCTGGGAGGGGAGGGACTGGATGGGACCGATTCATGTCTCATGCCTTGGACTTACTATGTAGCCAAGGACAGTGTAGCCAAGGACAGTAAACTTATGTTCCTCTCTTTTGCTCTCAAGTGCTGAGATTGCAGCAGTGTGCCACTATACCCAGCTTTTTCTTAGGTTATGTATTTATTTAGACAGTTCCATTTGGCTTGGACTGTCATTATTATGTTTTCAACTCCTGAGTTACAGTGTGTTCTACCATGCCTGGTTTTTGTGGGGCTGGAGATGCAGAACAGGCTTTTGTGCTTGTTAGGCAAGCATTATACCAACATAATGCTATATCCCCAACTCAAAAAAAGAACAGAAACATATATATTATATGCATGCATGCATGCATGTATGTATGTATGTATAAATGTGTGTATTTATGTTGAGACATAGTCTTACTCTGCTGGGGTTACAGGAGCTGCCATGCCTAGTTCTTTAGGAGATATTTTTTTGGCGTGTGTGTGAGTGTGGGTATTTTGTCTGCATGTATGTCTATGTACCACATGAGTACAGTGTTGAGAGGCCAAAAGAGGGTATCCAATGCCCTGGAATTGGAGTCAAAGACTTTTTTAAAGTTGTTAGTCCATGTGGGTGCTAGGACCAACCACAGGTCCTAAGAGCAGCAAGTGATCTTAACTATTGAGCCATCTGTCCAGCACCGCTCTAGGGTTCATCGGTCTTTTCTTTAGCCGCTCACTCTTGAGCCCGGAATTGAAGTGGGTTCACAACAAGTAAAAAGCTTAGAGAGGCTCACTTGGTGGAAACTGCAGCATAAGCGAGGAGAGCAGGGGATAGAGACCAACACCCTTTCCAGGAAGGGCTGGAGTAGACAGCTTTCTGAGGGATGTCTGAGGCGGGCTGTCAGTCATGTGCCCACATGCCCCTCCTTAGTATGTTTTATGAGAGGCCTCCAGAGCTATGGAACAAAACTGTACCTTTCCTTTCGGCATGGTGGCCAGGAATGTGTGTAGGAGATGCCTTCCTCTAGTTTTTTAGTCAAAAACAAAAAACTATGACTACACTTATCATGGGTGTAGGTGTGCATGTGCCATAGCACATGTGTAGAGATCAGAGCAGTCAGTATTGTCTTCCTACCATGTGTGGGTCCTAGAGATTGAACTCAGGTATCAGGCTTGGTGGCAAGCACCTTTCCTGGCTGATGGCCTTCAACATTAAACCTGAATATGTAGGTATTGAAAATGACATGGCACCTATGGAGAGATAGCTTTAGAGTGAAAGTCCATAGCCTGCCATGTGTCCAGCATTAACTGAGATTTTAGAAACAATATAACAAGATAGAAGCTTGCAGGGTCTCCCTTCTGAAGATGTTATCATTTAGTAAGCCAGCAAAGCTGAAATACAAACATTTGAAGTGAGTTTAGGGGCTCGTGAGATGGCTCAGCGGTTATGAGTTCAAATCCCAGCAAACACGTGGTGGCTCACAACCACCCGTAATGAGATCTGATGCCCTCTTATGGGGTGTCTGAAGACAGCTATAGTGTACTTGCATATAATAAATAAATAAAAATCTTTGGGCTGGAGCAAGAGGGCCAGAGTGAGAGGGAGAAGGGAAGGGGAAAAAAAAATGAGTGAGTTTAGGAAGGCATTTGGCTTAGGGGACCAGGCTGTGGAGAGTCTTGCTGACTGTAATGGTAATCTGTAGAACAATGTATAGAATAAGGGGTTGGGGAGTGCTGGTGCATGCTTGCTGTCTCAGCACTTGGGAGATAGAGGACAGAGGCTTGTGAGTTTGAGGCCAGCTTGAGCTGCACAGTTAGATCCTGCCACAAAGTAAAAAACCAGAGGAAGGAGTCTGGGAAGCATCCCAGGTAGAGGAAAGGACCGTAGTTTTGTTTCTTTTCGGGAGGCTCCCAGGCCAACATTGTCTACTGGTTTCACCTGTGACTGTGAGCGGTCCCAGTGGCAGGAGAGAAGAAAGGACCCATCCTTGTCCTTACCCTTGCTGTCTGTTCTCTTGTCCCAGGTGGAGTATGGCCCTTGTGTGGTGGCTAGTGACTGCTGGAGCCTCCTGCTTGAGTTCCTACAGAGTTTTCTAGGTAGCCACACGCCAGGGGCGCCCACAGTATTTGGGAACAGACACGATGCGGTCTATGGGCCAGCAGATACCATGATCCAGTACATGGAGCTCTTCAACAAGATCCGAAAGCAGCAGCAAGTGCCAGTGGCTGGGATCCGGTAGTGACTGGCAGCTGCCTGCCTGCTGAGCTGTCAACAGGGTACTGTTCAGGACCAAGTACCGGACTTGGGGTCCTGGGCCCCTGTGTTCCCAGCTGTAGCTTGTGTTCTGGGGCTTTGGACTTCCCTTCTGACCCCAACACAGCTGTTTTTTTACTTCATGCTTTAACTGGATTTGGCTGGTCCTCAAGAATGGTAATTGTGAAGAATGGAAAAGCTTGGTCCTTTCCTGCTGTAGGGCAAAAGGTAGGACAAGGTTGTCCCCGCCAGCGCTGGAGTTGTGTGTGTCCCCAGGTGCTGAAGATTTGGTGTAGGCTGTGTGCCTGTGTTGTATGGAGCTCTCCTTTAGCGTGAGGATGTGGTTGGCTTCTCCTGGAGATGCCTGCTAGAGTGTCACTTTCATTCTTCGGACACTGATGTCTTCCCCTACTGTTTTAAATTATGTGAACCTGCAGGCCAAGCGGCTGTTAGCCGAGCCAGAGCAGAGAGCTCTCACTGCACAGTCCATGGTCTCTAATAGTTGAGAAGCATTCAGTTCCCCAGAGCATAGCGCACTCCACTTGCCGTTCCATAGTGTTCCTTGTGTCATACTGTCCCCAGGATGCTTTCCTTCCTTCCCACAGGATCCAAGCATGCTCAGTAGATCCGTGCCCACAGTCCACTGAGGGAAGAGCTAGAGGGGTTTCCAGAGTTGCTCGAATCACTGTGGACACACATTCCTGACACCCAACACTCAGTTTTGTCAGGGTGCTTCCTAGGTTGTCTTCTTGTCTTGCTTGAGCCTTGAAATTGTTGACATCATCGATCACCTGCCTCACACCTGCTGCAGAAGCATTTACCACGGAGACAGGCTTGGGAAAGCTGTTACTCTACAAGTGTAGGGTGTCAGTGAGGGGCCTGTCCTCAGAGCACAGCTCAGCAGACTTGCCAGCGCCTGTGTGTGCAGCAGCTCTGAGGTTCTGGTCATTGTTGTCTCCTAGCTTTGTTGTGCAGGACAGCCCATCACGCCTTCCCGGCTGGGGCTCTGTTATCCCATCATTCACCGTTTCCTCCTCTTGCTTTTGTTGTCACTCTCTTACTGTTGCTCTGTAAAAATGGAGGTGTTTTAGATAAACAATAAAACTTACAAACATTACAGTTTGGGCCTTCTGTATTCGGTATTGTTGCAGTCTGTCTGCTTTGTACTTTGTACTGGTTGCCTGAAAACACAGATGTTAAGTGTGGTAAATATGGACTCTCAGTTCCTACATAAGAAGGGCTCAGTTTCTAAAAGATAAGGAAAAGCACAAACAATCTAGCATCTTGTTAAGTGTAGTTGCTATGCTTGCCTTTCCAGCAGTCGTCTTCTTTTTTTTTATTTAAGATTTTGCTTTTAAGTGTGTGTGTGTGTGGTGGGGAAGGGGGGCAGCGGGTGGGGGTATGTGCTTGAGTATGCAGTACCCTTGGAGGCCAGAAGAGGGCATCAGCTCCTCTGGATAATGTCGCAGGCAGATTTGGGTGTTGGGAATGGAGTTAGGGCCTCTGCAAGAGCAGCAAGCACTCTTAACCTCTTCATTCCCTTCGTTTTTGTTCTTTTCTATTTGAGCTCACAGTTGACTGGCTTTAAACATGAGATCAAGCCTGAAGAATGGCCACTTGGGTACTTTGCTTGGTCCTTGTCCATGAATGGAAATGCAGCACTGAAAGAAGCTTGCTAAGCAAAACCCTCCTAATAACGGAGCAGGTGATGGCTCTGCCACAGAGGCACCGGAACTGAACTGACTAGTGAGAAGGCCAGTGTGTTGTCCAGCTTTCACGTGCAAGTCTGTATGGGGCATCATAGAACACTATAGGACATGGTTGTCGTGCAACTTTTTGAAGGTTCAAATTGCATGGAAGTTGGGATTATGTGTATAAATTTGAGGGGAAGAAGGATGCTTATCACCATTTTATAAACATTAGGACCCAGAGCTACTGAGTTAGCCAGGCTGGCTATTCAGCAAGCGTCAGGAATCTGTTGAGATTACACACGTGTTCCTCTCTACACATGCCTTTTCATGTGTGTTCTGGGAATTGAACTTGAGTTCTCATGTGCCAGGCCAGCAATTACTGAGTTGTCCCTTCAGTTCTAAGGTGAAGATTCTTCATTGTCTTGTATCGTTTCATTTCTTATCATCCCTGGTCCAGGCCCTATCAATACATAAACTAACTTTAAAATAGTTTAAGAATTATGTGTGTGTTTGGTTGTGTCTGTGTATTTGGTTGTGTGCGTAAGTGCAGTGCCTGAGGAGGCCAAAAAGGGGGACAGGATCCCTGGAGCTGCAGTTACAGGCAGCTGTAAGCTACCGGTACACAATAGTAACCTCTGAGCCATCCATCTTTCTACCCCCATATAAGGTAACTTTTAAGGCTAATATACATTCTACTGAACTTTTTAGAAGTCATTCAAAAGGAGAATTAGCCTAGCACATCTTTAATCCCAGCGCTCAGGAAGGAGAGGAAGGAGGCTGAGTTTGAGCCTAGCCTGGTGTACATAGTGATCTCCAAGACAGCCAAGGACCGCAGGTAAAGGCACTCAAGCCAAATGATGTGAGCTCTGCCCAAGTAAGGTGGGAAAAGGATCAGCTCCACAACCACGTTCTGACTTTCACAGGTGTGGCATTCCATGTGTGCACTTCTGCCTCACATCAGGCACGCTCATAATGGCTTCAAAAAGAGAATCTGGTACAATTTTGTAGCTTAAGTTATCCTGGAGCTGGATTTACCATTGGGAATCATTATTTGTGTAGGAAAGGCCAGGCTGGGCAGTGGCAGGTGTGCTGGGGCTGTCAGTTGAAGGGACACTGCCTTAGGAGACAGCTGACTGGCAGCTGGCTATAGCGCTGGGCTTAATCAGATCTGTTCTTTGGGTTGAATCTGTATAGTAGGAATAATGCTGCTTTCCATACAGCACAGAAGTCGAAAGGGAAATCTGTGAGCATGAAGAAGCTGTCTCTGCCTTTTTCTTTTAAAATTTGTTTTGTCTGGATATACGTGTGTGTGCACCACATGCATGCCTGGTCCAAAAGAGGGCATCAGATCTCTTGAGACTAGAGTTATTGATTGTCCTGCACACCTATGTGGGTTCTGGAATCCAACCCAAGAGCAGCCAGTGCTGTTACCCACCGAGCCATCTCTCCAGCCTGTTTGGAGCTTTTTAATGTACTCACAGAGGCCCACTCTACCTCCCAATGCTGAGATTAAAGGTGTGTGCCACCACTGCCCAGCCAAGTGGTTTTCATTTTAAGACACAGCCTTACTGTGTACCTCTCTGACTGGCCTGGAACTATGTATACAAGGCTCACCTCAAACTCAGAGATCCTCCTGAATGTCCAGGTGATCTTCCCTGCCTCACAAAAGCAACAAAGAACAAAATATATTTAATTTTGGGTTTCCTTGGGTTTTTATTGGTTTGATTTTTTTTTTTTAAGACAGAATCTCATTTACCTAGGCTGACTTGTACTCTAGACCTTGAACTTTTGAATGGACCTAAGTGTTGGACTATAGGCGTGTGCCTTCATACCTGGGGAAACGTTTTTCTTAGAATAGAGTTTAACCTGAGCTCTACGTGCAACATTACACACACACACACACACACACACACACACACACACACACACACTCACATCTTAAAACATCTGTTATATAGTGCCATCAAAGAACAGTTGGATGCGTCTGTGGTTTCCCTACAGTTGATTAGGCTTCTGAGCTAAGGCAACAGGTATTCACTGTTCTTTTTACAATGTTTTTTAAAATTGCATTCATTTATTTGTATGTATGTGTCTGGGGACATGCATGTTGCTGTCAGAAGACAATATCTGGAAATCATTTCTCGTTCACCATGTAGTCCCAGAATCAAATCCAGATTCTCAGGCTTGGTGATAAGTGATTCATAGGCTGAACCTAACCCCCTTAAACTACACACACACACATTTGTTTCTCAGAGGATAGAGGACAACTTGCAAAAACCTGCATTCCACAGAAATGTGGAAATGGAAAGGCAGGCTCACTAGCAAGCACCTTTACCGCTGTGCCATCATGCTTTGCCCTTACCACTCCTGTTGTTTTGTAAAGATGTATTTATTTATTTATGTATATGCATACATTGTACCTGTCTTCAGACACACCAGGAGAGGGCATCCTATCCCGTTACAGGTGGTTGTGAGCCACCACGTGGTTGCTGGGAATTGAACTCAGAACCTCTGGGAGAGCAGTCAGTGCTCTTAACCACTGAGCCACCTCTCCAGCCCATAATTGCTCCTTTTTCATTGTCAGTGCAAATGACAGTCCAACAACAAAGGCCGATTATTTTCAGTATTATTTTAAAACTACGTTGGGTCTCAGAGACCTTCTGAAAGGCTCTTGATCCTTTGCACTTCCCAGGCACAGACTTCAAGAACCACAGATGTAGTGTGCGCTCACAGTGGTGGGAAGATTTTCCTTCTAGCTGTTGGAAGTGCACAACTTCCTCACCCAGAAAAACACCTTGTTAGCTAAGGAAGGAACAATGACTAAGAGACTGTCTGCTCCAGGAAAGCTGTTGGGAACTGGGTAAGGGGGGGTGGGGAGCACCTTTTCGGGTTTTTCTTATTTACTTATGTAAGGAGTTACAACTTAGAATTCCATAAAGAGAACTGTTAAATAAGACACCAAGTTATGGCTCTAATTAGGGATCTCAAGTCCTGAGACTTCTTGAATCACACTGCAGGATTCCCTCCCATGAGAACTGAACCCAGGGCCTCAGTCGTCTCCCAGGCCTCTAACCCTCCTCCTTTGCCACATTCGAGACAGGGTCTTGTTACTTATCCAAAATAGTCCCAGAACTCACTATACAATCTACAGACCGTAAAAACTTCTGCCTTGGCCTCCTGATTGCTTAACCACATCTGATTAAATTTTTTAATTTTTGCCCTTTTTCTTCCTTCATATTTACAGACATAAAGCCTTGAACAACCGTAACATTTAATACACGTTTTCTTCTTCTCTTTTCTTAAAACAAAAATGTTTTTAGCCGCCTTAGACTGCCTTGGGTGTTGTAACATTGTCTATCTTATTTGGAGGGACCCTCCCCCGAAAGGTCTGTCAGGACAATGTACCCAGGAAGCTTGCCTACCTTCCAAAGGGAGTCTTTCTGTTTCAGAATGGCCTTTTTCCCTCTCGGAAGTCCCTAGGGCCACTGCCACCTAGGTCTGATTTATTTCCCAGTCCCCATTTGGGGAGCGATGAACCTTTTTCTGTCCCGTCAAAGAGGATTTCATAAAACGGCTGAATGCCGCCTGAGTCATCACTGGCAAAAGTCCACACGTGTGTGTTTGTCTGGGCGCCAGGAGTAACTTTTGCAGAACGCTGCCTCAGGAACCCCCAGGTTCGCTGGCTGCTGCTACACCGTAAAGAAAACAACAAAACCAGAAAATACACGGAAGTGAAAAAGCGGTGAGACACACTGAAGGTAAGCTGCAGGGTATGCAGAATTCCTTTACCTTTACAGATCTGGGACGTGGGGGTGGGTGGAGAGCTCCGCAAAGTGCCTGGCCCTTTAAGGAGGAGGGCCAGACAGTAGACTCTGTACCTTTAAGAGCCTCTTTGTCTAGAAACCTTCTTCTGTACCCTTCTGTGCCTCAACCAAACTTTGCCGGGGACTCGCGCCGCGTCGTCTCCCTGCCTCTCACGCCGGCCCGCCATAGCCGCTGACCCGAAACTTGGTGCCTGCGGCGCGAACCCGCGCAAAGGGCATGGGGGCCCGGGTCGCCGCCGGGAGGTGCGCCGTTGGCGCAATGCGGGACCTGGGGGCGGGGCTCCGACAGGCGGGCCAATGGGCGATAAGAGGCGGGGTCCGCCCGCTCGTCTCGCGCCCCGGTGACAGCTCGCGCGTGCTGATGATGGCGGTAAATAGAGGGGGGAGGGAGCTGAGGAGGGGCGGAGGGCCGGCGGAGCGGCCGAGGGGGCGGCCCGGGGGGCGTGAGGGGCCGCAGTGGCTGGGAGGCCGCGCAGACATTCGGAGGCGGGGACACGCGGCCCCGGCATGCCGGCCCTCCCCTTTTAAAGGAGAAAGAAAAAATCCCCTCACACACCGGGTGAGGGGCGACAAAGGCGGCGCGCGCCTAGCGGGCGGGAGGAGC